GCCGGAAGGTAGGGCGGAAGGCCCTCTTCAGCCTGCTTTCAGGAATCGTGGGAATGGGTGGGTGGTGATTCGGGTGAGAAAGTTGAGACGGACGAAATGAAGACAGAAGAGAATGAAAGATTATCTGTGGAATATTACTGCCCCAGCATTTACTTAAGTGATCCAATGAAACCACAGAAAAACTTGGACCAAGGCAGACGGACCCGGAATCGAACCGGCGTCCTCCCGAATGCTAAGCAATGATCTAAACCTCTAGGGCATGCCGCTCGGTGCTTGATGGTGCTGATGGCACGCTTCTTAAGGGTGAAAAGGTGGTGAGGTAGAGAAAGACAGCACAGAAGTATTAGTATCCGGCAAGAGAAGTATATGTGAATAGTGGTCGAAAGTTCAGAAAAGTCAAAAATAGACGAGAAAAGAACAGATAGATAAGATGTAGAAAAAGACGATGTAATAGAAAGCGAGGTACATGACAATTAAAACAAATATGTTATAAAACATTAACTAAATATCATCACTTAGACTTTAAGAAAAGTAAGTATTATAAAATAATTAGAAGTGGTCTGTATTCTGTCGAAACTGCCAGACGCGGATCGCGATTTCGATCTTTTTGGATCTCATCAGCGCGTTGCAGACAGCTCCGACAGAACACAGACCAACCTTTACCTGCTGTCTTAACAGTGCGTTGTAGAAAATACCACAAATGGCGCGGTAAACGCCATCTGTAGCACGATGCTACATTTTAGGATTACGTATGCTCCAACAAGGTCCACTTGTGTGGATATCTACTTGCTGAAAACGAATCCCGGCGTAGCCAACCTCAACGTGATAGGCACGTTAGCTTAATCGAATAAAATAATTCGAAGTGGTCTGTATTCTGTCGAAACTGCCAGACGCGGATCGCGATTTCGATCTTTTTGGATCTCATCAGCGCGTCGCAGGCAGCTCCGACAGAACACAGACCAACTTTTACCTGCTGTCTTAACAGTGCGTTTTAGAAAATACTACAAATGGCGCAGTAAACGCCATCTGTAGCACGATGCTACATTTTTAGGATTACGTATGCTCCAACAAGGTCCACTTGTGTGGATATCAACTTGCTGAAAACGAATCCCGGCGTAGCCAACCTCAACGTGATAGGCACGTTAGATTAATCGAATAAAATAATTCGAAATAATAAAAATGTAGCATCGTGCTACAGATGGCGTTTACTGCGCCGTTTGTAGTATTTTCTAAAAAGTAAGTATTATTTTTGCGGACCTTTAGAATCAAATATATACAAATGGGCCGAACACTCCACTTTCCCACTCATCATGTTACTTAGAAAATAGCTAATGTCTGGTGTGGCTCTAGGATCTAGAACTAATACTTCCACAGACCTAAATGTAGAAAACTTTGGACCCGTCGCCTCCACCGAAAAATACATTTATTGTTCTTGTTTGCCATGAAATCAGTATTTTCTCAAAATGTTAGTTTTAACGGAGCGAATGAAACTAGATATCACTAAAACACTATAATATACAAACTATATTTACAAATGAATTATTAACTATGAAATAACGGATTACAGTTACAGGCACAACGAAGAAAATATCAATTAAAAACGCAAATTAACAAGGACAAAACGTACGTAACTCTAAATTAAGTGACAAAATTAAAAATTGTTCTGGTGCCACCATCGATACCTGATATGCAACAAAGGAATACGAAACAGAAGTCAATAAGGGGAAAAACCCAGCAAGGTATGACTCTTCTTCAAGCTATGACATTCCTGTAACCTGCATACAATTGAAGAGCATCGATAATAAAATTAACAAAGGTGGTTGCCGTCGAAACCTTCGCAGAACATCACCATTGGAACCAAATCGGCCTATTATTGTTTGAAGAAGAACATTCACGAAATAATTGACTACATTGTATGCATTTGAAATTATGGAAATTTCTAATATAATAAAATAAAACAGGTTGAATAACGATAAACAAATCTATCTCTAACAACAAAAAGCACCGAGCGGCGGGGATTAGAAATGTTGCTTAGCATTTGGTAGGGTACCGGTTCGATTCAGGTGCGTCTGCCCTGACCCATGTTTTTCTATGGTTTGCTTGGATCACTTAGACAAATGCTGAGACAGTAATAATATTCTATAGGAAATCTGTCACTTCTCTTCTATCTTCATTTCATTCATCTCCTTCTCATCCACCTAATCCCACGATTCCTAGAAGGCGTAGCCCAGCATTCGCAGCTAGTGGGAATAAAACGCCCAAAAGTTTATTTTTTTTAAGAAACTTATATTTTTTCGGAAAGTTATATACGCAATCTAGACAATGGAAGTGAGTTTGACTCCAAGCTTTTGCCACATCAGGTAAATGGTCGTTAATAACGATTAGTGAAGTTAGTTTTTCCCTCAAGGTCGCTCTTGTCCTCATCCCTCACGATTCCTTCCGACGATCCCTACATCCAGTCATTTAATAAAAGTGATAGTTGTTGTTGACTGTCAAAGTTCTATATCCATTGTTTCGGTATAGCTTTTAGGTATAATTTTGTAATTGGGGTTGTTAGTCATTTAAACAAGTTACTTTTACTTTATCTTGTTTACTTTGCGAACAATTAGTTTATTCTTAGGTACCTTTTCTTTGTATATTTGTATATTGATTTTTAATGATAGGTGTGTCATTAGGGGTTTATCCCAACATCATTGTATTTCAAATACTTCGTGTTCCTTATCTTTATTTGCAGTTGTAAAATCTATTAATATTTTCGTTAGAGTACAATGGTCGATACAATCGATCAATACCAAGAATTGTTGCACGCTGGACACTTGCACGTACACCGATCTCTCCCTTTCTCTTCTTATCAAACCGCACCCCTTATACCCCACTTTCTTATCTTGGACCAACCACCCTGTTTCTTCTATTCCTAATCCAATTAATGTTTCTAAACCTTACTAATTCCACCTATACTCCCTCTTCACACAATTCTTGTGAATATCCGAAAATAGGATAAAAGCCAAATCATCCTATTCATCAGGGAGAATAAGTGACAACCACAGAGAAGTGTAACAATCATAAGAACAGTAACAAAAACAAGTGACAATCATCAGTGACAATCACCAGCGACAATCACAAGTGTGACAGTCCATAAAATAATAGTTAAGTAATATTAATATTTTTTAGCGTTAGGTTTTTATTAAAGTGTCAAGTTTAAATAAACAGCACATTAAAAAACTAACGTGAGTTTTAATCATAAAACAAGTTCGTCAAACCAGGCGTCAACAGTTGTGTTAATCGGAAATCTCTCCCAATGGCCACACTAATCGCTAGTTGTTCTCCTTTTCTTATGGTTTAGTTTAGTTTCGTTTTGTTTCGTTCATAGTGGCCGTACAATTGAAAATGCTTCAGTTGGCAAAACCCTAAAATTGAATTATAAGCAAAAGTAATTTTTTTGTAAGTGTCTGAAGAACTGTATTTACTCATCTTAAAACAACACACATTTAATTCAAATTTTACATAAAAAAGGAACTATTCAATTTAATACAAAAAATTTTGTATCAATTTCCGTCATGATTTTCAATTCGATAGTCATACCCTCAGGTAACCTAAACAATTCTGTTTTATTTTACTTTTATGGGTGCTTCCATGAAAATAGGCAACTCTATGATGTGATTAGTCTTTACTATTTTTTACATACTGTGCAATTTTAAATTAGTGTAATTTATGACTGATCGATAGAATAATTAATGTTCAAAAGGGCCAGTCACTTTGTTTAGTATTTTAAGAGAAATTCAGGTTTTTGTAAATTTAGACGTCTAGGAACTAACATATAGCTACGGACTGATGAAGATTATGCTGATATACTGTAATATAAGATTTTTTTAAAGCAATTAAAGCAATAAAATAAGACTCCTACAGAGGCATAGCTTTACTTTTATTAGGAACGTATTTTAGACAGTATCATTATTAATTAACTTGAAAAATGTTAATCAAGTGTAGCTTTAGCTAAAATTCTTTAAGATAAGGTAAAAAATTAAACAAATGAGGCCCTTTGCTCTATGAAGTGATAATTAACAAAAAAGGTTCCTTGCCTATAAAATAATCAATCTCAATCGATCAATCAAGCGAGAGCCTGACGGGTTAGGGACTGACCATTCAGAAAAAAACCTACGAATACTCTGTTCGGTTATATATTCCACAATACCTAACGTCATTTAATAAACAGGGCTTACAAAACAATACTAAATCGTTGACAATTAAAAACAATTGCCTACTATTTAATATAAAAATAACCGACGGACTGACAAAGTCACTGGAACAAGGCGTGCTAGCCATCTTACGCCGCAGTTGCACTGAATCACAAAATGGCCGACACAAGGCGAGCAGATTTGCAGATAATTTCATGTCTATACCTTAAAATGAACTGATTTTCATTCCCTCATTCACGATAAAAACCGCGTAATTTCAAAATTCTTAAGCGGCTGGTTGGATGGTTAAAGTCGTGGACACAAATTTAACTTACATAAATGTAATGTTTTTTCGAAATATTGTTATTTTGTTGATGTTATTAGGTAAACAGTCATATTTGTAAATGTCATGAATAAAATAAAAGTGTATAAAAGGAATGCTTTTTCAGATATTGGTGGCCAAATACAAAATTTTGGTAGGTGGACACGGCTAGGGCCTGATATTTGTGGTAGTTAAAACATTTTTCCAAAGTATAATTCTAAATTATTTCAAACATTTTGAGGGCAATAAATAAAATACATATTAAACTGTTACCCATCAACTAAAAAGTAAAATTTATTTAATTTAATGCAGTGAAAAATGCCTGTGGACATAAAGTTGCCCTATTTTCATGGAAGCTCCCTTATACAGTTTTCAAATAGTCGATAACCATAAGATATGGTTATCATCATCATAAGGTCATCAGTCTTAAGACTGGTTGGACACGTACCTCCTCACTCTTTCTTATCCTGAGCTAAACTTCGCATTTCCCTAAAACTAGAACAGCCCACATCCTTAACTATTTGCGAAGAGTAATCTAATCTAGGTCTACCTCTACCCCTCCTAACTCCTGTTTCTGCCTCTAATATGTCTCTGACTAGACCTTCATGCCTGAGAAGGTGTCCTACCAACCTATCTCGCCTATTTTTTATTGACTTCCATAGAGTCCTCTGTTCTCCTATTCTTTCCAATACCTCTTCATTTCTAACCTTTTCTACCCACGATATCCTCATCATACGCATATAACACCACATTTCGAACGCTTCTAACCTTTTCTTTTCCGCCGCGCCCACTGTCCATGTTTCGCACCCGTACAACGCCGCACTCCAAACATACACCTTAAACAATCTTTTTCGGATTTCTAAATTAACCGTTCGCGAGCTTAGAAGTGACTTCTTTTTATTAAAGGCGACGCGACCCTGCGCTATCCTCTGCTTTATATCCCTACTACTCCTTCCATCCTCAGTTATCTGACTTCCTAGGTATCTAAAATCAGCCACTTCTAATTTTTCGTCTCCTATCTTTATATTCGCTCTTCCCCTACTTTTTCTTTCCTTGCATATCAGTATTTTAGTTTTACTTTTATTTATTTTCATACAGTACTGAACTGTCAGTACCGCTTCCATTTTATTTAAAGCTATCTCTAGGTCCTCTTTGCTAGATGCTAATACTGCTATATCATCTGCAAATTTAAGCTTACTAATCTTTTGCTCCTGTAAATCTGTCCCTACAGTTGTACTGTCTTTAATGATGTTGATGGCGTCTTCGATGTATAGATTAAGAAGTAGCGGTGACAGTGTGCATCCCTGGCTGACTCCCTTCCTAATATTTACTTCTCTACGTTGCATCCCCAGCTCTATAACTGCCTGTTGCTCTTTATACAAGCTAAGTATCACTCTTCTATGGTCGCTGCTTTTAAATTGAAGACTGTCCTGACAATGAGAAATGAATTGTATTTCTTGATACAAAGAAAATATTTCCAACGTTTGACCTTAGAAATGCAACATTTAAACCATTCAAGTGCAACCGCCTACTAAAATTTCGAGTGTAAACCATTAGTCTCGTTGTTCAGAGCGCACGGTAAATCGGGTTTCAAATATTTAATATCTATTTCGCATTTTGAGCACAATAACCATGCATACTATTTCTCTCTATGAGCAGGATGTAGATAAAATAAAAAACAGAGTCCTTAAACTTTTTTCGCATACGGTAAATGTTAGTTACATGTAACCTACAATAATTAAGGATACATTCCAGTGGGAATGTTCTGTAAACGAACTGTTCTTTGAAATGTTTTTCGTGTTTTCAATATAAAAATGAATCTAGCACGACGGCATTGGCATCGAAAATTAATTAGAAGTTCAACACGCAACCTAATCGATATCTCAGGCAGGCCACAGCACCGTAATTAAGAGGCGGTAATAGAAATAATTTTAATAGGTGCACATAATAAATATTAATCAGACAATGCCTTTGTGTACTCCTAAATGAGACGTCATTATCAATTTGATGTATAATGTAAATTTATTGAAACAAAAACAGGTACCTTTACATTAGCAATTCTATTTTCTGTCATCTATCAAATTTTCATTTACTGTGGGAAACAGGAAAATTTTCTCAAAAAATTATTTTCACGCAAAAAAGCACGTGGATCGTGAGTTCAGTCAAAAACTGAAAATTCTTCATACATCATCTACTGATACTCGTTGCTAACTGATGTATTTCGAATGTTATAAACATCCTTATCGATACTACCTTTGGGATGCCGATGAGATCGAATAAGACCGAATACGCGAGCTACATCCGGTAGTTTCGATGAATTACTAACCAAGAGCTCCGTTCTTATTAATTTGGTTGAAGTACCTGCATTTTATGTATACATATAGAGTTAATAATATTTTTGATGCAAATTGCAAATTAGTTTTGATTGCCAGTTGATTGTAGAAAAATTCA